CAAGCGGCATTTTATTCAGGAAGGAATAGCACTAGAAAAATGCAATTAAAAAAATCGATTTTTTGACTGCCTAGTCCCCTTAATTATTCTACATAGTATAATTTTTAAATGGCAAGCATTAAAAGTTGATCAATCAAATCGTTCCAAATTTGCGCACTCAGGCATGGCACATCGCACAGTAATGAAGTATCTTTAGATATTGATTTGTTTTTATTTTTTATTGTACGTAAAGTTATATTTGTATTTAAGGGGATGCAGGAGTGAAAGCCGAACTCCGACGCGAAAGCGCCCTCATTTCAATAGTACTAAAAATGAAAATGACATTATCGGCGTAGCTTACAAACCTACGCCGCGTAGGTCCGTGTGTACGCATTTATTTGTAGTGGTAACTCACTACACTGACGTGTGGTCTGTGTACGTGTCATCAGACAAACGATGCTTGGCACTTGTTTCCTCGACTGAAATTTCGTCGCAAGGTTGCAATATAATGTCCGAGAAGACATAGGCGTATACAAGGTGTTAAATAAATATGAACTAAATATGACAAAATAATAAATGAAAAATATACATATAATACTATATATATCACTGAAGAAAAATGTCATTTACTTTTCTGATTTTTATCCTTATGTAGTAAATACAAAATAACTAATTAATCAATTAATTAATATATACATATACACATATATTGAATAAATAATTATCTTTATTTTGTATTTTATACAATAATGACTGAAATAATGAGAGTATATATCATTTCAGTTATATAAAATACAAAATAAAAATAACTATAAATTGTATTATATTTGAGCGTACGAATTTGTAGCATTCTAATTAATCAATTTTAAATGCTTTTTATTTAAAAACTATTATAGTTTCGACATTTTGGTATATTATGATTTTTATCTCAAAATAATTTCAAGAATATGTCATTACCATATGGTGCGCTCAATGCGGGACACTTTGTATATATATTAAATTAAACTTTTCATTTAATTAGTAATAATTAGTATCTTTTTATTTCATATTTCAAGATTAATTTATATAATTAAAAAAGTAGTATACTTTTATTATAAAAAAAATATATATTAATTATATATTTATATATTATTTAAATATTATATACGCGTATAATATTTTTAATATTCTAAATGTCATACTTTAATTATATAAGCTATTTAAATTCTAATTGTAAAGAAATAATTAAAAATAATAGATAATATTTAAAACTTTCGATAAAACTACCAAATAGGGGACCACTCCCGAATGACCTTGATCTTGACATATGTTATCAAGATCATAGTCCTAAGTAACAGAAAAAGAGTTTTAGACATCGATTATTGTTTATTAGAAAGTTATCAACAAAAGAAGTTTATCGAATAAAATGTAATTTTTTGACCATGTACACGTACCGGCACGTATGGTGTCCCTCGCCGGCAACGGTATACGTGTGTAAAACAACCGAAGACGTCACACGCATTCACACAAATGCGTATTTGACGTGTCGCTTGAAGCGAGGAGCACAGCGAGCAGCGAAAGGAGAATAGTAGTGGGGGATATTTTGATCTTGCATCCTTAGCGCAAATCTGACGATCGGGAGAGAAAGCATTACAAGACGTGATGTCAAGTTAGTGGTGTTTCTATAGCTCTCTTCCTCATGCGACCGTTTAAGGAAGGAAGTGCGAGCGAGACAGTTAGAGCAGCTCAGTGTCCCTATCGATGTCTCGTTCGCTCTAACACTTATGTGTCGTGCTTTTCTTTCTTTCCTTTAAGAAACGTAGCTGAGCCGCGTGCACCGACCGCCGGCATTCATTCTATTAATTATTATATCATATAAAGAGGCTTAATTTAATGAAGAATAGAAATTTGTATTGAAATGTTTAATTATACGAATATAAGAATTGTTTGCTTCTATAACAAAAATACACGCTCGTCCTGATTAATTATTGGTTCATTTATGATTACGTAATTAATAATTTCTTTATTATAAGCAAAATTAGTAACAATGGAACAGGATAAGTCACTAGAACATACTGTCTCCAATAAATGTTCAAATATAAGATTTGTTCGAAAATATGTATATCATATAGAAAAATTGCTTGGTTGCGCGGGAGATATTCTAGACATCCAATCAGCACAGTTTGTTTCAAGTGGAGGTCTCTTTCCAAAATATGATTACTTCTACTTTTTGAAAGCCAAACCATGGCTTTTTTTAAGTTAATTCCTTTCATCGTTCTACGTAGAAAAATAATTAAGTTAGAAGTGAATTCTTTACGAGGTTTTTTGCATCTTACCCTAATATTTTTAGTCTTAAATACGAAATATCTGGTAGTCATTTCTCGATGATTTTATTCTTAAGCTTTTATACGTGGTATAATGAACAGAATACGCTCATGATAATAATTTTCAGATACATCAACTGTTTAGATATATCAACTGACGTGCTAATTTTGCGAATATAGCATGACCTTTTTTCATTCTAAACTACATTAATTAGCTGAAAATTGCGACTTTTTGCAATACGTCCCGATTGTTCTACGCGAGCGCTTCATTCTGAAAGTCATTTTTGTGCAGAGTTTCGCAAATTAACTATTTCTAATATCGTAAACAATTTTTAATATCAGCCGCCAATGAAATAGTTGTAGAATATCGCACTTTTGTTCGCCTATGTGTCACTTTCTTTTTTCTTTTTTTTTAATTGATTTATTACTAAGAGACCGCGCTTCTGATTTTTTTTTGTTATTAAATTAATTATCGTTGTGTCATAGCATCAAGCAGACGTGAATCGCGATAAATATAACGATGCTTCAGAACTTGTGTCCTGAGATATGAGGTCGTATTATCGGAAAGTGGTAGGCAGGAAGAGCAGTGGCAGAAATTGCTGCTGCTATTCCTTGTTCTGTAAAAACTGTCCGACGATGGATCCAACGGTTTATTGAAGATAGTGATCATGCTTTGCATGATCATCGTCGAAATAACCGTGGTCCTCGTAAGACCAGTGCACAAGAAGACGAAGCTATCGTTACCGCAGTTTCTGATAATTCCTTCGGTACTGTCCAGGAGACTATCAACGCGGCGAACGTCCACATATCCGAGAGGACTGCCCGGCGACGTCTCAACGAAGCTGGGTATCATTGCTGTCGTCCAGCCCGCAAAATTCCGCTGACTCCCGTTCATCGGGAACAGCGTATCGCGTTTTCTTTGGAAAA